AAAAAAATCTTAATTTCATAGTTATTTGTTTTACTAACTTTTAAATTTATAGAGAACAAATAGCGACTGTGTCACTCCATATTTGACTAACATGTAAACAAAAAGCTTAATTTAATTCAAAGATTAATTTGAAGGTCACCTGAGGTAACCTGTTGGGAAGTTGTTTCTAACTACATAAGCCAGACATACAATTAGTGTTAGGTGGTAGTCCATGTCAAGACAGATATACAATTAGTGTTAGGTGGTAGTTTATGTCAATTGGTTTTGTAAACTTTGGTTGCTTTTTGTAGTTTTGACAGAGAGTACTGTAATGGTTTTGTTTAAGGTATATACATAAACTGTTGTATTTGTTTCTCTAAAGCTTTACAAATGAATAGCTCTCAATACTTGGATCACTGTGATATGACTCAATGTATTGAACTTAACTGAGTTCAAACTGAAGTACCCCCCAAAACCCCAAATCAAAGCAATTAAAAGAAAAAAAGAAAGCTGGGCACAGATAGCTCATACCTATAAACCTAGTTACTCAGGAGGCTGAGATCTGAGGATCATGGTTTGAAGCCAGCCTGGGCAGGGAAGTCCATGAAACTCTTACCTCCAACAAAACACTCAGAAAAAGCTGAGACACTGGACTCCAGTGGTAAAGTGCTGGCCTTGAACATAAGTGCAGGGAAAGCACCCAGGCCCTGAGTTCAAGCCACAGGGCTGGCACCAAAAACAAAGCAAAAAATATTATTGGAATAACAGCTAAAGAATGATAGTAAATGTGGGGGGAAAAACCCAATACTTAATTACTTTAGTGTATTTGAACATGCAGGATAGTTAGAAGAGATAATGGTTATAGTTAAGTTTGCATGCATAATTTCGTATTAGTTCACTTATTGTGGGATAACAGCTAAAATGGTAACAGAATACTTGCTCTTTTGCTTTAGGTCAGCTTCTCCAGGTGGTCAGAGCAGCCAATGGTGCCCAGTATATCTTTCAGCCTCAACAGTCAGTAGTTCTACAACAGCAGGTTATACCACAAATGCAGCCTGGTGGAGTTCAAGCTCCTGTTATACAACAGGTAAAGGGATTTCAGTTACCATTTCCATCTTCTATTTGGATTCCTTAAGTGGTTGCCCTGGCGTTTTCCATGGTTTTTCACTCAGAGTTGTTATTTTCTGTTGTGTGTCTTATAGCATAATGTATATTCAGCATGTTTTTTAATGAAAAGAATTACCATATATTAAAAGTATTGGCATACATTAGTTGTACAAAGTGAGAGGTTTTGTTATACTTTTGTACAGGCATATAATGTGTAATAGCATAGTTTCTTTTTTCCCTTCATCTTTGCCAATATTTGTTGTAGGTTTTTGTGGTGATAGCTGTTGTGGCTGGGATGAAATCAAATCTCAGTATTATTTTGGTTTCCATTGCTTTTATGGCTCAGGATGTGAAATACCTCTTTGGGTGTTTATGGCTATTTATATTCTTCTTTTGTGACCTCTTCTGTTTATTTCATTTGCTCATTTAATGGATTATTTGTCTTTTGATGTTTTAAGGTTTCTTTTCTTTTGGTTGTGAGGCTTGAACTCAGAGTGTGGGTGGTGTCTTTGAGCTTTTTTGTTGAAGGGTAGAGCTTTACCACTTTGAACCACAGTGTCACTTCCAGTTTTCTAGTGGTTAATTGGAAATAAGAGACTCATAGACTTTCCTGCCCAGGCTGGCTTTTGAATAGTGATTCTCAGATCTCAGCCTCCTGAGTAGCTAGGATTACTGGCACGAGCCATTGGTCTGCTGATGTTTTAAGTTTTAGAGCTCTTTATCTATTTTGAATTTTAATCCCTTGTCTCATAAATAGCTATCCAAGCTTTTCTTTTCATTTTACATGTTGTTTCTTTGCTTTAATAATGGTTCCTATGATAAACAGAAGCTTCTGGTTTAGATGCAACCTCATTTGTCAATTCTTGTTCTTATTTCCTGAGCTACATCAGTCCTATTCAGCAAGTCATGGCCTATGTATGTGTCTTTTTTTTTTCCTATTGTATAAAATTTCAGATAGTAGTTTAAGATTTTTGAGACATTTTCAATTGATTTTTTTGTACAGAGTGACAGTTAAGGATCTAGTTTCAATCTTCTTTGTGTGAATCTCCACTTTTCCCAGCACCATTTGTTTTGAAGCAGTTGTCTTTTCTTCATATGTTTCTGGTGCCTTTTTAAAGAATCAGGCAGCTGTAGCTATGTGGTTTTATTTCTGGATCTTCTATGCTGTTAAGTCTACATGTCTTTTTTTTTTTTGGGTCCGGTCGTGGGGCCTGAACTCTGATCCTGGGCGCTGTCCCTCAGCTCTTCAGCTCAAGGCTAGCACTCTGCCACTTGAGCCACAGCACCACTTCCGGCTTTTTTCTTTTTGCTTATATGGTGCTGAGGAATCGAACCCAGGGCCTTACGCATGCAAGGCAAGCGCTCTACCACTGAGCCACCTTCCCAGCCCTCTACGTGTCTTTTTATGCCACAATTATGCTCTTTCTTGTTATTATGGCTCTGTAGTATAATTTAAATCAGGTATTGTGATATAGCCAGTATTATTGTTTTTGCTCAACATTGCTTTGGCTTTTCTGGATTTTTTTGTTTCCATATGAATTTCAGGATTACCTTTCTAGTTCTATAAAAATGTCATTGAGATTTTATGCATTGAATCTATAGTGGTTTTGGTAATTTAGCCATTTTTACTGTTCTGCTGATTCATCAACATGAGAGGTCATTCCTTCTTCTAATATATAATTTTCTTTATTCAGTGTTCTATAGTTTTCATTGTTAGAGTTCTTTTTACTTCTTTAGTAAAGTTTATTTCTAGATATTTAATTTTTTTGTTGTTGCTGTTGGTCGTGGGGCTTGAACTCTGGGCTTGGGTGCTATCCCTCAGCTCTTCAGCTCAAGGTGAGCACTCTACCGCTTGAGCCACAGTGCCAAAAACTTCCAGTTTTCTAGTGGTTTATTGGAGATAAGTCTCACAGACTTTCTGGGCTGGCTTTCAACCGTGATCCTCAGATCTCAGCCTCCTGAGTAGCTAGGATTACAGTCATGCATGAGCCACCGGCGCCCAGCTTTTTGCTGAATGTGTATTCTGTGATCTTTAGAATCTTTGAAATACATGATTTCTTCTGTAAGGAGATAATTGGAATTCTTTCGTATTTGTATTACTTTTCTTTTTCTTGCTTTATTGTCTGGTTGAGAATTCAGGCACTATTTTAAGTAAGAGTAGAGAAAAGACTTACACAGTCTAGTTTGTGATTTCAGAGGAAATTGTTTTTTTCTCCCCTATTGGCTATAGGTTTGCCTAATACTCTGTGGCTTTTATTTTAATGTTGAGGTATATCTCTTGTCTTTATGTAGCTTTTATTTTAATGTTGAGGTATATGTCTTGTCTTTAGTTTCTCAAGTTACTCAGCATGTTTATAAATTGAATTAATGGCCGAGCACTGGTGGCTCACTTCTGTAATCCTAGCTACTCAGCAGGCTGAGATCTGAGGATTGTGATTAGAAGCCACCTGGGCAGGAAAATGGTGAAACTTTTATCTTCAATTAACCACCAGAAAACTAGAAGTGGAGCTGTGGCTCAAGTGATAGAATACTAGCCTTGAGCAAAAGAGCTCAGGGATATTGCTCAGACTCCTGAGTTCATGCCACAAGACCATAAAAATTACCCTCAATTACTGTTGTTTCAACATTTTTTCTTTTCCTGAGTGTGTGTGTGTGTGTGTGTATGTGTGTGTATGTGTGTGTGTGTGTGTGTGTGTGTGTCTGTCTGTCTGTCTGTGTGTCTGTCTGTCTGTGTGTCTGTGTCTTCCTTGGTCTTGAATCCAGGTCCTGGGTTCTGTCCCTGGTGTGTTATTTGTTGTTTTTCTCAAGGCTAGTGCTCTACCAGTTGAGCCACAGCACCACTAATTTGGGCTATTTAAAATGCTAGCTTTGAACCATATCTTCTGATCTCAGTCTCCTGAGTAACTAGTATTACATGTATAAACCACCAGTGCCTGGCTTTATATTATTTTTTTATAGACAGATATATAAATTGATAACAAGATAGGTTAGGCAAGGTTATTCAGCCAAACTAATTTCTGATTTCCATAATCATGTGCTATTATCTTTCTGTATTAGACTTGATATTATTCTTTAAATTAGAATCCTGCCTTTGGTCTTGAATGTAGCAATTTCCTGTACTGCCTCCAGATAAACTAGAGAGCAGCCTGGCTGTTCTTAAAGCACAAACAGAAACTAGTGTAACCTACTGGGAAGGTCACCGACTATGCTTTGTTTCCTAAACTAACCTTAGTACCACTTACTATGTTCTCATTGAATCAGACAGGCTAGTTTCCTTTATCCAAAATGTTTATTGTGAGTGGGGTACCAGATTTTGGAGTTTTCAGGTTTAGGGATATTTGCATAGATTACCAATGGAAATCCAAAAATCTGAAATTCTCTCAAATCCAAATATTTTTCAGATTAGGTATGCATGGCTTTTTGAGTTATTATTGTGTTGTATTTGCTTATTAAACCATTAATCTGTAAATTTCTGAAAGGAAATTCTTGTTTTTGCAGGTTTTGAATTGTATGCTTGAAACTAACAGCACTTCTGATTTATTAATAATTATAATTATGAATGTTGTTTTATATATATATATATAGTTCATATTTGTTAATGTATTCTTTTCAAATTTAGAATTTTAGAATGTAGAACCTGGAAATAATTTTAAAGATTATGTTTTCTGGTGGTTTTACAATATGGTTTGCATGATAGAACCATCTGTGGAATTGTAAGTTAAATCAATACCTTTTATTAGTCAATTAAATCAGAATATTGAGGTATGAGTTAGACATCTTCAAGAATGGAGATTGAACTTGGCTTTGTGCTTGCTCAGCTGCCACTCCACTTAAAGTTTGGCATTTTGCTGTTTATCTCTGAAGATGGAATTTTGTGCATTTTTCTGCCTTGGTTGGCTTCTCATTATAGGTGTGAGCCACTGGTCTCTCTTACACACACACACGCATGCACGCACACGCGCGCGCGCACACACACACACACCCTCTTTTTTTCTTTTTGCCAGTCCTGGAGCTTGAACTCTTTGTGTTCAAGGCTAGTGCTTTACCACTTACTTGAGCCGACAGTACCACATCTGGCCTTTTCTGAGTAGTTTATTGGATAAGAGTCTCATGGACTTTTCTACCCAGGTTGGCTTCAAACCATGATTTCAGGTCTTAGAATACTGAATAACTAGGATTATAGGTGTGAGCAACTAGTACCTGGTAGTATTGTTAGTTTTTAAGCTACTAATTGCATCAGTGTTCAGAATCATTCCTTATCCCTAGTCTAACAGTGAAATTAAAGTAATAGAGATTAGTGTCTTTCTTTAGCTCTATATCTGATTCAGGTGTTCAGATTCTCAAATGCAGTACTCTTTGTATGGAGGCAGTGTAGCATTACAGTAAAAGCATGAGTTCTAGCCACAGAATTTAGGCTCAAAATTTGTTACTTAGTGACTATGAGCTTTGCAATTTATATGTTAAAATTACTTGCATACTTGGCTTAGTATCTGGTATATGTATAAGTACTCAGTAAATGAAGTAGTTGTCAGAAACTTGAATGATAAAATGGAAATTTAGTGGGGTAGTACACTAGCTAAACATAGCTTTCATGCTTTGGTAGTTTTAACTATGAATAAATGACATTGCTAGTGATTCTTTAAAAATTTGGACCAGTTTCTAACTACCATACTTAATCCTTCTAATTGGCGAAATTTTTGGTTTATTTGATTTTTCCTTATTTGTTTTATTTGCTTTAGGTCCTAGCTCCTCTTCCTGGAGGGATTTCACCACAGACAGGTGTCATCATCCAGCCTCCACAAATATTATTTACAGGAAATAAGACTCAAGTTATACCTACGACAGTGGCAGCACCCACACAAGCACAAGCTCAGATAACTGCGACTGGCCAACAGCAACCACAGGCCCAGCCTACTCAGCAGCAAGCTCCATTAGTGTTACAAGTTGATGGAACTGGGGATACGTCATCTGAAGAAGATGAAGATGAAGAAGAAGACTATGATGATGATGAAGAGGAAGATAAAGAGAAAGATGGAGCTGAAGATGGGCAGGTGGAGGAAGTAAGTTTCTAGTGGCAGACTTGGAAAAAGAAACTATTCAGTCATGTCTAGTTTAACTGAGAAATTGTATTTCATTTTTTCCAGAGGCTATTTGGTATCATACAGTATAAGACTTTTGTTCTGTATGTACTACCATTTTTAAACTGTCCTGGCTATATTTATCTTTAAAAGAAAATTGTTTCTCATAGCTGGTAATTAAAAAATGTATGTATACCAAGTTAAATTGTATTAATAAGGATAGAGGAGACACAAGTCATTCTAAAGCTTTGGCTAATGTATTCATAATGGTAGAACAGAACAAGTAGATGTGGTCAGTCTTTTGCTTTAGTCATTAAAAAGGCAAGACAACATTTGAAGAGAGAGGAAACTCACAAAAACTCAATGAGACAGATTTATTCCAAACCTTTTGTTTTTTTGGTCATATTCTGTATCAGTTTCTTAATCTTTCCTGTTCTTGGCATCTTTCTGCTTCTAGAAGCTTATTGATGTCTCTGTTTTCTCCATAGTCCCAGCTTAGTTACTTTTGCCCAAGATGAAACTTGTCCCACCACAATTTTTATCACTCGTTGTGTGCCTCAGCATAAAAAGTGGCCTTCTTTTTGACCGTATTACAAAATAATTTAAGTGTTTTTAAAAGTTATTAAATACTGACTAAATACAAATGAATACAAAAAGTTTCAAAATAAAAATATCCTGGTATCCACCATCTAATTAATTTTTTTAAAACTGCTTAACATCTCCTGGGCTATCAGTATATCTATGTCCATAAACTTAGTGTTTATTATTAACTTGCTTTTCAACAATGAGATTATTTTCCTTAACAGTATACTTTTTTAGCTTTGCTTGTCTATTTCAAACATATAAATGGAGTAATTCTTTATGTATTTTTCTATATGTTGGTTTTTTTGCACCCTAAAATGATATTCCTGAGGTTTAAGATGTTGTATATAGCTGTAACTATTTTTATCTATATACCATAATTGATTTATCGTTTTTCTGATCTGATGGTTATGATTGTTACTTTAGTTGTTTACTGTTACAGTTTGAAATATTCTTGTGTGTGTCTTTGGGGGAATACATATAAAAGAATTCTCTTAAATGTTGTGTGTAAACACTTAACTTGCTGGATCCCAAGGCATACAAATCTTTAGCTTTATAAGAATATGCCAAATTATTGTACGGATTACTTCTCTCTCCTCTCCTCTCCTCTTCCTCTTCCTCTTCCTCTTCCTCTTCCTCTTCCTCTTCCTCTTCCTCTTCCCCTCCCTTCTCTTCTCTTCTCTTCTCTTCTCTTCTCTTCTCTTCTCTTCTCTTCTCTTCTCTTCTCTTCTCTTCTCTTCTCTTCTCTTCT